GTTTTTTTTTTTTTCAAATAACTTTAAAATTTTTTCTCTGATCGTTTTTAATGTAGCAAATAAACTATTAGCACTCAAAAAAATTGCGTCGAATGCCTCATAGTTCGTCGAAATCGGTCAATATGTTCGTGAGTATTTAATTAAAAAAAAAAGTAATAAAAACGTAATTTTTTAATTTTTATACGGATCTTGAATTTTTGGAAATTTGAGATTTTTTTTTCAATTTAAGGGATTAGATGGGTTTCAAAGGTTCAAAAAAAGGGTAAATTTACTATTTTTTTTTTTAGTATATACAATCACATATTTTATTTAAACTATTCAGCATATCAAAGATACACATTTAAACAGTATTGTGTGAAATTTTTATTTAAAAATTCCGAAAATTCAGCCGTTGGTACCTCATCTCCCTACACAGAAAAAAAAGTCATCTTGACTCAAGAAAATTATTTTCTTCAAAATTTACTTCTTGTTTCAAGTTATTGTTTATTCTTGAACTAATAATGTCATATACTTATCCCATGTAAATCTTTCTCTTGGTTTGGAAAGTAGCGCCAACGTTGGCGACGTGATTTTTTGGAACTAAACCGAGATTTTTTTAATAAAGAATTAAATTAAAAATAATAACCTTATGTATGATTTTTATTTTTTGTGTTCATTTAATTAGACATTTTTGATTAATTTTTAATTGCTGATTTCCCATTATATTACTGATTTACAGTTAAGTGTGTAGTGACGAAAATATTTGTATATACAAGTATTTGCTCGACTCATACAAAGTACATGGTTAGGAATTTGTTGCGTTAATAACTCAATAACTATAAGTGATATCGACAATCAGAAAAAAGATCCTTAAAGAGGAGGAAATTTCTGAAAAAAAGTCTCGACTCCGGGAACTTTAGCTCTATAAACAAGAATTTTTATTTAATGTTGAAAATGGGTTTCCGCGCGGCTGCTGTCCTACTCGGGCCTCGATGCGCCCGTGTGTACTTCAAGCAAGTTCAAAAACCAAGAGAATGATTTACTTGGATTAAGAGGTTTTTTTCTTCACTTAAGTTGGTACGCATGTTGGAACTAGGGAATATTTGCTTAAACCAAGATTGACCAAAACAAGAAAAAAATTTACTTAACTCAAGAATATATTTTATCTTCAGTTGAATATACTTGGATCAAGTAAATATTACTTGATTCAAGATGACTTTTTTTTCTGTGTGGACGTCTCAAAAAAATGCTCTTGCCGTGGAAAGCATAACTCATTATTGGTTTATCTAAAATCAAAGATCCAAACATATTTCGTTAATACATGGATAAATCTCGTTATTGGACGAAGGAGAATAAAAAAAATTAAAATTTGAATTTTTGACAGACTGAACAAAAAAAACACATTTTTTGGTCAAATTTTCGCCATGTATTTGCTCGAAAAAATTAGATGTAATAAAAAAAAAATCCTTCGTCCAATAATGAGATATATCCATGTTGGTTTATCTAAAATCAAAGATCCAAACATATTTCGTTAATACATGGATAAATCTCGTTATTGGACGAAGGAGAATAAAAAAAATTAAAATTTGAATTTTTGACAGACTGAACAAAAAAAACACATTTTTTGGTCAAATTTTCGCCATGTATTTGCTCGAAAAAATTAGATGTAATAAAAAAAAAATCCTTCGTCCAATAATGAGATATATCCATGTACTTACGAAATATGTTTAGTTCTTTGATTTTAGATGAACCAATAATGAGATATGATATCCACGGCAAGAGCATTTTTTTTTTGAGACGTCAAGCGAGATGAGGTACTCAACGGCTGAGTTTTCAGAATTTTTAAATAAAAATTTCACAAAATACTGTTTAAATATATATCTTTGATGTGCTGAATTGTTTAAATAAAATATATGATTGTATATACTAAAAAAAAATAGTCAAAATACCCTTTTTTTGAACCTTTGAAACCCACCTAACCCCTAAAGTTTTTTTTAACAAAATTTGAAGTTTTTTAAATAATCTATGCCAACAAAAAATTATTATTAAAAATTTAAATTTTTTTTGCCACATTCGAATTCTTTTGTAAAAGTGATTTATTTTCAATTTTTGTTTATTTATCTATTAATATTTCTGTATGTTATAAAAGTTTTTCCTACACTTTTCTCTGAAAATTAATTTATTCATGACAGTATAGGAACCATTACCACAATATTATGGGAATAGTTCTTATAATAGTGTAGGAACTATTCTCACATTATTATGGGAATGATTCTTATAATTATAGGAACCTCCCATAGTTAAAATTAAAAAAAATTTAATTTAATTATGGGAATCGTTCGCACATTTTTATTTTCGTGTACTATTATTATAATATTGATAATTATAACTATACTGCTGTATTGTTGTGACCATTAAGTGAAACTAATTATTAATTTTGGTTGGATGGTTTTGCATCGACGTAATTTAAAATTTATTTCAAATCTGAATTACTCATACGTCCTTCGATCGATATAATCTCTGATAGCGAACAATAGTTTACATTTTTCTTCGAATATTTAACTGAATCCCATGAAACCGTGTAAGAGTAAAATAAATTTTTCTCCATCACCAAGCCGAAAGCTCGGCCTTCCTCTTTAAATAATTATCAGTCGAATAATTAGAGCTGTGCATGTTCTTTCTGCGTTTATAATAAATAACATATGTATTTTGTATACTGTCAAAAATTATAATAATCATAATTATTATTTTTATCAGAATTATGTATTTTCCCACAGGAATATTTTTGATGTATGTCAATATTACTTAATTAATAGACTTTACATGTCAATGTTCTAATTAGCAAAGTATCTAACTCAATTTCAGAAAATCATTCATTTATGCGAAAAAAAATGGATAAAAAAATTTTTGTCATTTCTAACAATTAATTCAATATATAGTATAGGTATAAATCCTTTGTCTGCGTTCATCAAATACTATTTCTTCTAACTATTGAAATATCTACACATGAGTAAATGTGACTCATCAAATATCAAAAATACTTTTTTGTAAATTTCGAATTGCAATACCTCACAACGGAATCAACTAATTATGACATACTTTACGGCATTCAATGCATGTTATCAAGAAAAAAAATATAACATCTCATTTCAAATGAATCAATTTTATTTGGTACCACACTAATCCCTAAAGTGCTGATAAAAACCTTCGTACGGGCCGAATTCGACATACTTATCCGACTGTACCTTTTTGAAAAGCATTTTATTTTTAGTATCTTATTGTTTATACTTCAAGTAAAATAGAACCAGTTTAGAAAAAAAATTCACTGATTTATTTAAATTTATATAGAATTCGCGTGTTAATAAACTCGAATTTTAGATATTTAATTCAATATATTAATGGCTTAAAAGATAATATAGTCTAACCGTATTTTTAACGTTTAAATGTAACGTAGTGTTAGCTATAAAATAAAACAAAAGTAACAAAAAACGAGAAAAAAAATTTTTTGGCACACAGGCTGCAATATAATCTGACCACAACGTAAATCATGGATCGGTCTGGTAAATTTTGAAAATAATCCACGGAAAATCGCCGACGAACCACGCGTCGATTATCGCGTCGGATTGAACGATACTCCTATATACAGTTTTATAATTTAATCGTGCCAGATAGCTAGAGAGAAACGGGAGAAAAGTATTAGTACTACAAAACATATATATATATTTAGCATTCATCCCTGGTTAATAAATCATCTGGAACCATCAGACCGGAAACTATAGCTCAGAAAATTAATTAAGATTCTGATTTACTTCATTTTCTATAAATTAGTTTTATTGAATTGCCGAGTAAAAAAATTTAATTAAATATTTTTTTAATGCCTATAAGATGTATAGTTAATTTTCATAAAGTAGCTAATAAATGTCAAAAGAAAAGTATTAAACAAAAAGTGAGTGCGAGTATGTACAGGTGTAAATTCTTTAAAAAGTACATTTTACACATAAGAAAGGGGAGTAGTTCATTTAACGATCCATATCCTTTACTATACACTATATAACAGTGTGCATTAAAAAGTCAACTGCTTACCGTTCTCATCGTATAGTTATCGTCGTTTCCGTTTTGTCCGGAGTAATATGTAACAACTCACTGAGAAAATGAGAGTCGTGTGAAACCTTACATATAACGTTATTACTACCACCATTTCCACATCACTATTCTGCATTTACTTCTTTGTTACGACAGATTATCTTTTTTTTGTGCAGATTTATTTTATTTACGCAATAGTATATTGTAGATCAAAGCAAGAACAAAGGGTTGTTTTGGACAAAAATCAAATTAACTGTCCGAGGTCTGAAATTATCCAACATCTCAAATAGCATTATATTCCAAATTTCGTTCAGAGTTAGATACTACTTATTCCTATATCACTAATCGATTTAACATTGATCGATATAATTATTAATGTATAAATTCGTAGTATGTGACGAACTATTTGAGTACAATGCAGAATAAAAGCTTCACCAGGAAAAATCTGATTCAAAAACATGCGCATTGTTACTTGGCTCCATCTAAAGCTCCCATGTAGGAAAGTATGGCGGGCCCAGACTTGGCCCAGGCCTGGCCCAACTATGTACAACTCTGGGCCAGGCTTGTAAACCAGAGTTGGCCCAGACTTGGTTTGTCTGGAATGATAACGCTGGCCCCTTACAAATATTCGTTAAACAATAAATATTTATTGTTTAAAATTCTATTACTTAATAATTAATTAACTTTGAATTTTCCATTGAGTGGCCAAGGCTAGGTGAGCCAGGACCCAAGGCTGGGTTCTTTTGCCTCGGCCATTCTATGGCGAACCAGCCTTAGCCCAATGGTGGGTTCTCTTGCTTCGGCCATTCTATAGCGAACCAGTTTTTGCCCAGACTCGGATAATCATTGGGCCGGCCGAGGCTTGGTTGCCCAGTCTTGACCCAGGCTCGGGTAATCATTGGGTTGGCCAAGGCTGATTACCCAGTCTTGGTCCAAACATGAGCCAATATCGGTGCGCCAAGCTTGGTTGCCCAGTACTGGGCCAAGCAAGTCCCCGTCATTCAACTCTGGCAGTTCCTCCATGGGCTATCGAATGTAGGATGTGACTAGGTGCAAGCCTGAAAACGATTGAGTTGAACATAGATTGTAGAAACGTACATGGATAGAAAAATAGGGAACGGTTCCCGTAATTTAATGAAATTTTTTCCTATACCATTATAGGAATTACGACTATAAACTACAGGAACTGTTTCTATAATTATGAGAATGTTACTCAAAATATTATAGGAATGGTTCCCATAATTTATATGAATAGTTCCTATACCATTATGGGAATCATTCCCATAATAGTATAGAATCCATTTCTATAATAGTACGGGAACTATTTTCATATATGATGACAATTATTACTATGATAGTATAGGAATGATTCCTACAACATTATGGGAACCATTCCCATAACGTAAGGGAAAAATTCTTATAATTTTCTTTCTGTGTAGTAAATGATGATCCCGAGTCGAAAAATTTAAACTGATTTTAAGCTAAATGATCTGCATTTGAACTTATTGATCTGTATTTGAACTTTAAAAAACATTTTTATCGGTATTTGATCTACTATTAAAATTATTTTTGATCTGTTTTAAGTCTAAATAACCTTTTAGTAAAATAATTGAGCAACTATGAATATTTTATGCTGTTTCTAATCTAATGAAACTAAAAAGTTTTAAAAGTTTGATCGGTTTTTAGTCTAGTTAATTTGTAGATGGACTTTATATATTGTTTTCAAATTCAATATGAAATCTTATACTGTTTTTGATCTACAATTTTCACTCTAAATGTTCGAAGGCCAAAAGTCGACTAAGATGGTGACTTATAATTTTTTGGACTTAAAAATATCTCATTAAAAATTATAAGTCGCATTTATTTAAAAAAATAAATTAACTTATAATATATTCATGCGCTCTCTTATTTTATGAACTGAACGTCGATTATAACCTTACATATCTGTCATATTTATTTATCATAGCTCAACATTTCATGGATTATAAAAGTTTTGTAACTGCAAATATTAGTTGCAGTGATAACTAATAAATTTGTAGTAATATACGTTTATAAAATAGTTCTCATCATTTAATTATGGATCTAAATCTAGAGTTTCCTAATTATCGTTATTAAACACAATGCGAATACATCGAGACAAAATTAAATTGTTGACAAGATTAATGTTAAATTTTATACTTTCACGCATCATTCAATGAGCGGTATCCACTATTTGGTAGTGCGAAGAATACCGTATGGTATACATTGCACTACGAAATAGTGAATCGTCACTATTTCAGTTTCAGAGAATGAAAAGCCGTGCCCTGTAAAGGATCTTCGAGGACATGAATAAAATAATAATAAATAAAAATATTATTATTATTATTATTAATATTATTATTATTATCAAATTCGTAAAAGGTCGGTTTTTGATCTACAGGCGATGAAAAACCGACTAAAAATTATAGAACTTTTTGGTCTGTTTTTGACCTTGATGCGATCAAAACCATCTAAATGATTGTGACGAAAAAAGTCTGATTTTGGTCTTGAAACAATAGAAAACAATTTTATTATAACATTAAAAATGATCTGAAATTGGTCTGAATTGTGAATAATACGGGCAAAAACAGATTAAATTCTCATATAAAATAGATACACATAATAAAATTAAATTGAATGAAAAATATTAAAAAATTTTATTAATCATAAAACAGACTAAATTTTTTGACCCGGGATGATAAATAAATTATGCAAGTTATCAATAGAAATGATGAACTTTGCCTGAACTCCTCAAGCTGGATCAGTTAATTTTACTTGGAAGCCGATTCTTCAACATATCATTGGTGCCGATTTTAAGCACTTATAATTATTTGACGATTAAAATAGTTATTTTCGTATCGATTTGTATATTGACTATAAATATATAGATTGCCAATAATACTAAACGTTTCTGTCTTGTTCTTTTCAGCTACAATAAGATTTTAAAACTTCAAAATCCAACATAAGTTATTAACAACTATTAAGTTTATTCTATCACTTTTATTAATAAACTTTTACCCTTCACTTAGCAAAATGTTATTTCTGTTTGGTGAATTCAGTCTCTAATCTTAATGAAAGTAGAAAAAATTAGGTTAACGAGCAAGGTTAAGATAAATAAAATAATTTTATATATTAGTACCGCGTTAAGTGAGAAGCAAAATGTTAAGATTGCTTTAGCTTTAGTCTATGTACGTATATGATGAGAGTGAAGATTAGTTTGATATAGGATGTGAATGGAGTAAATGCAGGTTCTAAAGAAGAGAGACATATATTTCCATTTACAATGGCTAGAGGATTATTGTTACAGTATGCATCGTATATAGTATATAACTACATAGCATATAACTATATATTAGTTGACCCGGTATCCTTCTGTACTCTCATCTGCTCTCAATTCCGTAAGTTCACTTCAAATTCTTCTTTCTTGGTTTCTATGTACATTTTGATCCTCTCTGGAGTCTACGACGCTTTACAACACAATTGTCATGTATCTGAATAATATTCAAAAAGATTGTGTTTTTCTATTGTTGAAAAGGAAAAGAGTAAAGTGTATGTAAGAAATCTCTGGGCAAAAGTCACTTTTGCAATCAGTATATTCATAAGAGTTATAAAGGCTATACGCTTGCTATATGCTTGCAAGAAATAGGTCCATCTGTATTTTCATTTTTATTCTTATTCTTCTTAAACTTCAAAGCTCCCTGAACTTTCTTTACTTGAGAAATTGTACATTTAAAAAATATTTCTTTGTCATTTTCTTAAATCAGTCATCAATAAAAGAAAAATTCCAAATATTTATAAACAATCAATTAACAATTTGACAAATAATTATTATATAATCACAAAAAAAAAAATTCAAATAATCATTTCCTTTATGTGAAAAGAGAATAAAGGACCGGACACTGAGCACTCTGTGGCTGTGAATTTATCCCAGACTAGCGATGAATTCATAGTACCAAGACACACTAGTGTCAGAAGAGGAGACTGAAATAGAATTAAAGGGGGTGGACGAAATGAAGAGTAGAAACTGAAAGAGCAACAGAGATGGAAAGAGTGATACGACGGAACAGGTGATGTGGTTGTGGAAGCTGAAGATGAACTAACTCACGAAATCGGACAATCTAAAGACGGAAATCACCGATTACAAGCATCAGAATTAGTGGTTTCTCTCTACAAAGAGAATTCCTACTACTCGTTGAGGGATGGTTCCTATTCTGCAACATTTAACCACTAGATGAGAAACTAACAGTGATCACTATACATTGATATTACAGTCATTATTTTTTGCCACTTAATGCCAAAAATCATCATTATTCTTCGTCTACCAAAAATAAACTATTAAGCAAATTAGTTATTTATTTCTTGCTTTTAATAATTACGTGTCTGATAATAAAAGTATGTATTAAGGAAACACAAACTATGAATATGCCTAATCTTTTTTTCATTTTACTACAAAAGACAACATTACAACTTATTTTTATCAAAAATTAAGAGAGGTTTAAAGGCGTACCATTTTTTTTTTTTTGATTTACCAAACTTTTTTCAATTTTTTCAAGTACAACGTGAATTTAATAGGGAAAAGTATTATTGTACTTGAAAACATTTGAACTAGTTAATACAATAGTTAGATTACTTATTATCAATGATAGTTTTTATCTGCAAAATAAAAGAATCGTTAAAAACTCCAAAATATAGTATATAACATACCTAGGCCAGTAAAATAAGAAAAGTCTCAGACCACATGTTGGCCGAGGCGAAGCCGAGGTTGACAAACATGTGGTCTGAGGCTTTACTTTTTACTGGCCAAGGTGTGTATACTATTTTTCTGCTCAACGTAGCCGGAATGTGGCAACTTTGTTTAGCGCAGCGGCCAAAAAGTTGCCACTTTCCGGCCAGAGGGCAGAAAAATTATTTATATAAACAGTATTTACATACTTATCAATCCAGAAGTAATCTATCAAAGTCAAAATAATGATATTGTCTGATGACTAATTAGTTAATGTAATAGTGGATTGGCAAACAAACCATTAGTGAGATGAAAAGCACTTAAAATCAAACGTACAGTAGCAATTGGCTTTTTAATCATTGAGCCATTGAATGCCGGATTAAAAAGACTAAGCAAAACTCCACTGAAAATCGTAGCTTCAAAGCTTCTACTCTTTTATTTTAGCTAAGTTTTTTACTTTATTAAGCTAATTGCGGTCACGAAAAGTCCCTAACAATCATTTTTATGAATTAGAAAGAGAAGAGAATCATTAACTGGCATTAACGATGCACTTGTAAAGTTGATAAACTTTTTATTTTTCAGTCGTCTCTGTAACGTTTTCTTTCTCACTCTTCTATAATTCCTCGAAGTAAAGTTACTCTTCACGAATATCTTCTAGTACAAAAATCCATTGTATCATCTAGTCTATTGTACGAGGGATTTTCACGATTATAAAAGTTGGTGACTAAAAGATAAAGAGAAAAAGGATACTCTGCTTTTTTTTTATTTATTATATTTTTTTTATTGCTCTTCTTTGCTTGAAGTACAAAGCTTACTCTAAGCGTACGTATATAGTATATAGTGGTACTCACTTGGTTTCGTTATTATTACATTCTAGCAGTGGAAAATGGAAATTTAATATAGCATCTCACTCCTAACGCCCAGGTGATAACAATGCCGAGACCCTCACGGGGAAAAAAATATTGCTGTGAGCAAAAAAAAACTCTCTTTACTCTGCGTAATGTGGAAATACGTGAAAGAAACAGTAATAGAGAGAAAAAACCGGAAAAATGAGAACAAACGCGCCAAGTACAAGTATATTTTGTACAATTTGTTTTATTCTTTGTTATATAATTATTCTAGTATATTTAACTGTTTTTCTTTGTATAAAAGAATCTACTTTTTATTAAACGCACTCTTATAAAACAATATATATATATATATATATATATATATATATATATATATATATATATATA